GCAGTCCTGTGCCACGTGCTCTAGGTGACCCTGCGTGTGCAGGGGGGTTGGACTAGATGACCTCTGGAGATCCCTTCCAACCTTAAGCATTCTGTGATTCTGTGATTTGAAAGAGAGAATAGAAATGGTGTTCACTTCAAAAAGTTTTAGATGCCTGCACAAATGCTGAAAAACAGCAGTTCAGTGCTACCAAATGAAGCTATGGAGTCCATCAATATCTAAGTTACGCCACTTCTCATACTTGGAAAACACACTAATGAGTAATCCAATTAGGGGTTAGTAGTGCTCATATGCTGCCACGGTTGAAACCAAATGTGCCTCTATCTGCTAATACACCGTTTTGTGGCCCTGGCTTATTCTTTCACCTTGGTAGGTGAGGCAACTGTGAATACAAATGCAACCTTCTGCCCTGATAAATATTGTGAGTTGTGGTGAAAGGCAAGAAAGACAACAGAGTATCTGTTTGCCTAATAAGCAACAGATCAGATTCACTGTGGCTTTCTATGTCTGCTATTTCAAACTATCAAGAAATCAATTCAGTGTAGGCTGCATCCTCTGTTGTTAAACTCAGTAAAATCTTTTTAATGAGGCCCTCTTCCATTACAGTTGTGTGGGCAGTGTTTACAGTTTCAGTGATAGATGTTGTTAATAATTTCAGGATATAAAAGGATATAATCAGAGCAGTCAGAGACAAATCAGACTCCAAAATCTCCATAGACAGGAATCTCCAAAAACACCACAACAATATGTAGTCGGGAATTTTTGTGAAATGGAGAGTGGCTGATGGAGGGAGGAAGGGAAGATGGAAGGTTATAGCATCTTTGATGGACAAGACTGTGTTCATATTTCAGGCTAGATAGTGCATAAAAACATAATTTTTGTGCATATTTTCAAATGAGAATGAGACAATATCTCAGGCCAGAACCTTCTTAAAGGCCCAGTGGTTATACAAGCACATAAATAAGCAGACTTGTTTTTCCTGTTTTAAATGATCAGCAAGATCTTCCTGATCAGCTAAACTACTTAAGTAGCTAGGACTCCTGCTGCATAACAAATCTACAACCTTTATCTTCCAGGTGTTTAAGTGGTAGGAGAATGCCAATAAGCTACGTAAACAACTGGTATGTGACTGATGATCAAAATGAATCTCTGCAAATAAAAGGAAGCACTTAAGCTTTCCTGTTGAGTGCTTCAAAGATTGATTTCTTTGCAGAATATGATTTGTCATTGGCAACTCAAACTTACGCCCTCCACCTC